GTGCAGGTCGTGCAGTGCCAGTGCGCCGTTCGGGTCGGGCGAAAGGGGGGGATAGCAAAGGGGGGGTTTGAGAATCAGCTCACGTAGCTGATTTTCCTGGCGCCTCCCGGCGCCGGAGGCGGCCATGTATCGAGGAATGGGCCCCTCGGTGAGGCCGAAACCAGCTGCATGAAGCAATTTTCGTAACCCCCCCTTTCCCAATCCCCCCTTTCGCCCGACCCGAGCCGTGTGGTCGTGCACGAACTTTCCCGCCCCGGAGCTTCCCCGGCCGGCACGGGCACAGAGCAGCTTCCCTGCTCGGCGGTGGCGCAGCTCCTCCGGCGGCGGGGGCCTGGACACGTCGAGCGCCGAGGAGGCGGAGAGGAGGAGGAGGCCACACTGGCCACGACGCCGGCAGGACCTGGCGGTGCGCACGAGGGGGTGGTGGGGGGGGGAGGACTTCTTGGGAGGAGGCTGCTTCTCAGAAGGCGCCGACCTCACAGCTGTAGAGAAGGCCCGCGCCTTCTGAGAATCGGGGGCGCGCAAGCGTGGATGAGCGATCCATGGATTTGGCGCCTGGTCGCCTAATCAAGGAATCGGGGGAGTTGCCCTCCCCAAAGCGCGGCCGGTGCCGCATCTTTCGGCGGCGGGAACCCGTGATTTCCAATGGAAACGGGACTCGTCGCTAGTCCACGTCCACGTGATCCATGTTCGCGATCGCCTGAAGAAGCAGGGGTGATTCTAAGAAGCCCTCCCCCCTCCCCCCGCCCCCCTTTGCGCGTGGCTGAGCAACGGCGCCAAAGGCGAGGACGGCTCGCTGGAGCGACCCGCGGGTCAAGGCCACCAGGCTGGAGTCTAAGATGGCGGCGCTCCGCAGGCAGCGCGAGGAGCTGGAGGAGGAGCTCGCGGAGGTCGGCAGCACGCCAGACGCGGGCAAATCAGACCTCGGCAAAAGGGAGGATAACCTGTTCCGCTTGCAAGCCGAGGAGATGGACGACCCGATCAAGGCAGTCACCGCCACCCTTGATGACAGCGTCGCCCAGTCACAAGAGGGTCTACGCCTCAATAGGCACCCAGGAGTGCCAATAGACCCCCCAAGGTACCACAAAGGGACTCCAACAAGCTCTCGTGAGAAATCCGAAGAAACTCCGACAGGCATCCTAAAGGTTTCTGGCCTTTCTGCTCGCCCTGCTCCTCCTCCTCCGTGTCCTCCTCCTCCTCCTCTTCCTCCCCCTCCTCCTCTTACTCCATCCTCCCCCTCCTCTTCATCATCCGCCTGCCTATATCCTCCTTCCTCGTTCTTCCTTCCTCCTCCCCCTCCACCTCCCCCTCTCCCTCCTCATCCTCCTCATCCTCCTCATCTTCCTCCTCCGCCTCCTCCTCCTCATCCTTCCCCGTCGCCTTTGCTTGCTCCTCGGGTTCCCCCCCCCCTTGCGTACAACGTCCCAGCGCGTAAAAACACTGCATGCTCTCCCACATCCCTGATCAGGGCAATTCGTCTGGGCATCGTCTCTAAATGAGCGAGCGGGGTTACGCAAAGCGTCCAAGTTTTAGCGGGATGCCCAAACCGTGCACAAGTGCAAAAAAAATCAAAACGGGGGCCACGCTGGAGCAAAAACTCCCTGCGGGGCCACGAAACGTCTGAAGGGTGCACCGACATGAAAGGCAAGGGCGCGTGCGGACGCAACCACAGGGGCCTTCGGTGGAGCTGTGGGACCACGAAACGCGCACAACGGGCACCGAAATGCGCGCGCGGGAAGCAAATGCAGGAACGGGACGGAGGAGGAGGAGAAAGTGAGGAAGGAATGAAAGGCGCGAAGCACAGCTGATTCAAAACGAAGACCCAACACCACAACATGGCTGGAACAAAAAGTCCCCTCCGCCTCCGGTGTGTGTTTCCGCTCCTGCTTCGTTCGCGCCTATGTTGTGCTCCTCGAACGACGCGCTCCGCGCAGGCAGCGCGCACCACGCGCAGACAGCACGCCGGCAAGTGCCAACGTTTCCCCCGACGGTCGGACCCCGCATGCAACCCCCCTGAAAGAATCTAGAAATGAACCACAGCGTCGTCGCATTTAAAGCACTGGTTATTATCCTGCCTCCTCGTCGTCCTCCTCGTTTACGCCCTCGCGGAAGCCCGCTACCCGCCCCCTGCTTACACCTTGCCGTCCGGCCTCATCAGCCAGGGCGCGCAATTTGATTTTCTGTGGCGCCGTCCGCCACGGCCGGCAGGAACGCGTTCTCCCATGGCCGCGTCCCACGCGGGCCGCTGGGGCGCGGGAGCCAGACGCGGGGACAACCCCGCGTCAAGCGGGAAGCAGCGCGAAGCCAAGCTATGCCGCGAGCTGCTCCGGTTCTGCCCTGGAGCCCACCGCTGTCTGGGCGAACTCCCCCAACGTTTTCTGCAAGGGCGCCTGCGGCCCGCGCTCCAGAACCTCGCGCGACGGCGGCCGCAGGACCAGCATGTTCCGCACGCGCGTGGCGCGGGAGAACACGACGTAGAGGCGCAGCCACCACTGCTCGTCCGACGACATGCCCATGTGGCCAGCGTCGTCGCCCATGGCGCAGTCGATGGCGACGCCCTTGCGCATCGTGTGACCCTGCGACAAAGTGGATGTGAGATGCGACGCGTGTGTCAGGGTGAACCCCGAGCGGTGCACGACGTGCGGCCCCGAGCTCTGCCGCGTGAGCTCCTGCTCGCTGTACCTGAACATGAGCAAATTCCTCGCCCTTACAGGTGGGTCCGTAGCTGGCGGTATCTGCCACCACGAGGCCCCCGCTGGAGACTTCCTTGAGATTCGGGCCAAGGAAGCCCCCAAAACATTAGCCCGCTCGGATTCGAACGTGGAGGCGGGGACCCCACTGGAAGGGGGTTCCGCCGAAGATTTTCCCGCCATCGACTCACCTGCGACTCCCGCTCAAGACATCCCCTAGAATCTTGCGGGAGTGAAGGCATCCAACGGCCTGCCCTAGTGGGAAGCTTGAGCAGCCTCAAGGTGACGGAAGGTAATTACTGGATTTGGATGGCCCCGCTCGGATTCCAACACTGAAGTGGGGTTAGGAAAGAACTCCCGCCAAAAACATCCTCGCGATTCACTCACAAACGACGCTCCCGCTCGACACCCCCTCAAGATTCAAGCCTCAAGAGCAAGAAATGACGACAGTTACATGTTGGGAGATGGCCGCCTCGGATTAAAAACATAAAAACATGAGGTTCAGGCTCTGTAGGGTAGCCACTCGAGACTTCTTCGCCGTTGAATAACAGACGACGCCCCTAATCGAAGCGTCCACAAGCTCCAGCCCTCAAGAGACCAGCAGCGACGACAGTTGCGTACAATTGTGAAGATGGGCCGTCTTAGATTTTTCGAATGAAAAGAAAAACAGTAAATGCAGACGCTATATGGATGGGGATATCGTCTGAGACTTTTTTTTTCCGAAACTTACTCACAAACGAAGTTACCGCTCGAGAAGTACTCGCCGTTCACTCACAAACGACGTCCCCGACCGAGATTTCCTCAAGCATCAGAGCTCATGAGCCCGAGAACGACGAACCTTACAAGTTTGAGGAAACTCCCCTCTCATTAAAGACTTTGGTTGCAGGCCCTATAATCAAGGAGCTCCCGCCTCAGACTTCCTCGCAACGCATTCACAATTGAGGCTCCCTTCCGGGTCTTCCTCACGATAAGTGTGACTGCGTGTATGATTGAGTGCGTGCGCGGCGGGTGCGCGAGCACGGCGGTAGTAGTGATGATGCTGATGACGATGATGATGGCAATGGTGATGGGGATGATGATGACGGTGATGATGATGGTGGTGATGAGGATGACGACGACGACGACAATGATGATGATGCTGCTGATGATGATGCTGATGATGATGTTTCAATCAGGCTCCATAAAGGGGGCTCGGGTCAAGGGGCCAGCAGATCACGGATGGTTCGCTTGCGCGTGGCTATGGCCTCGGCAAGGCCCCGCACCACGGCCTCCACCCTGAGGAAAAGATTAGACTGGGAGGTTGGAGAGCGAATGGAATTATAGGAAGCAACAAAGGGTCATGCGTGAGAAAGGCACCGTGCACGGCTCGACTCGCATGCATGGGAGGTCTCAGTAGTAATCTATCTAGAGCATCCCACTCGAGAATATCCCGCGGCATCGACTGGGTGATAGTGGACCGGAGCGGCAACAGCTCAGGGCAATGGATATTATGGAGACGGTGGTCAATGTCCCCGGCTCCGCAACCCATGATACAACAGCGATTCCCAGATCGGCACGCGGCCGAGAATAGCCAGGCGTCACCGACATAGTTCAAGAAAAGCGAGGCGATGAAAGGAAGCAATTTTGGTAGCGGTTAGAAAAATGACCCGGCATAAAACATCTGCGCGACTCCTCGGGGCCTCACTCTAAAACTTCCGCATGCGAGGGTCAAGCTCGACAGCGACAGACAGACGACCCCGAATTTTTGAGATCTCGATCGCGACTCTCCTTCGACACTCATGAACGCACTCGGCGACAGTCGGGCAAATGCGCGCAAACTCGCTCCAGTTGCTAATTCGGGAAACACACGTCGAGCCATGCTGCCAAACATTGCGACGCACGTCTGCGCGCTCGACGACCTCGGCCCGATGAGTGGACACGAGCTAACATGTTGTCGAACGCCGCGCCCTGCAGGGCAATCCGAAACATGGAACATATCTTCTTGAATGCCACAAGGTTCCTGGGCTTGCCAGGGGGGCCAAGGTCCTGGGAACGCTTGGAGATTGGACCCATCTGAAAGGCGTTCTTTTCGGCGCGGATCACCTCGGGCCGCGCCGGCGGCGCCTGCATCAGGCGCGTCGAGATCGAACATGCGAGCGCGCTGTAGGCGTAGATGTTCTGGACTGAACCGATCACGTTTTGACGCGCCCGATCCTGGAGGGGTGCTTCGCCAGAAAAGGAGCCCAGGAGGCAGCGGGCCCAGCAAGCCCAATCGCCCCGAGGTATTTCCCGTTGGCCCCCACCCGAAATTGCTGGCCGTTGATGCCCCACTTCTGAAAACTCAGAGTTGAGCTCGGCTCTGTCGTCGATCATCGCCAGCACGAGCGCGCGCTTCTTCAGGTTCGGGGGCAATCCAGCAACTACCCAGCCCCTGAGGAAGTCCTTCATCCGCGCGGACAGGGACCGTCTCGCATAGGCCATCGCAGCGCCGACGTCACCTGCAAATAGAGAGAGAGAGGTAGGAAACGCAAGGCGACGCAACATCCGCGCCCATGTGCGAAGCGCAGGGTCAGAAGCCAAGGAAAAAAAAGGCGGCTGACAGCGGGCCCCCTTGCGTGATGCCACGAGCAATTCGGTGTCCGTGGAACCTTTCCCCTCCGAAGATGATGCGCGAATAGAGATCGGAGTAGCGCTGGCCAACGACGTGCAGGATGGAGTCGGGGGTGCCCATGCGTCGCAGCACATGCAAAATCCACCAATGCGCCAGCGACGGACAGGCCGCCCTAAGATCCAAATGAACATGGCCGCTGCCCAAGGGGCAGTCGCAGAAGCAGGCGCGTTCTATACATTCCCCCTCGGCGTCAAGTGCGCCATCGGTCAAGCACCTGCTCTTCGCGAAGCCCTGTTGTGCCTGACCGGCTGAAAATAGAGCCCGCTGCCCTGTTCGCGCGCTTATCGAACTCGCCAGAAGCTCGACGCCAGCGCTCCCGAGAGCAGTCGGACGCGCTTGGCTGGACGGTCGGACATTCACTCGCGAGTCGCAGGCTGGGGGGGGGGGGGCCGGCGTCGGTCGGGGCGGCCGCCGGGCCGCAATTGAACCCAGAAGGCAGCGCCGCTATATGAAAACACTAGGCCGCGCTTGCAGCCACGCAAGAATAAAAAAAAGCACTCGGTGAGCTCGCCCCCCCGCGCGCCCCCAGCGCGAGGAAGGATTGCCGCCGCGGCCGCGCGCAGATCCACGCCGACTAGCGACGACGACGCGGGGGGCCCCGAAGTCCATGTTCCACTCGGCGCCTGGAACGACCCTCGAGATATCAGCGCCCCCCCACCCCCCCAGGTTTGCCATGAATCTCGGGCGCCGCTGTCCATATTCCAGAGGGTGAACCCCCCCCGACGCGCGGCGATGGTCCGAGCGTTTTCTCCCGAGGAGCCAGCGTAAGTTGAGGTGCCGCCTCTTGGGCGACCAAGACTTGAGACGCTGGAGAAGCTGAGTTCGCTGCTGCTCCAGTTCCTGCAAGTCACGGCCTGAGCTCGGCAGCCGCGATAGATCCTCGTGGACGTTGGCGCAGCTCTGCCAAAATCCATCTGATCCGAAAAGCAACCACTGTCGGCGTCGATAAACCTGAGCAGCACGGGATAGGATTTCAAATGCTTCACCCAGAATTCCCCTCCGCCCCAAACGCACTCGGGGGGGGGGCCCTCGTGGCCGGCGCAAATAAAGGAAGCGCGCCGCGATGTTTTGCACGTGAGTCTGGGCCCCGCCCCTGGGCGTTCTCTGCGTCAGCTCATCCCTCGCGGTAAAAAATCTCCTCGGCGCGAGCAGCTGCTGGAAAGGGATGCCGTCGAGGCCTGCGTCGTCGACGGAAGATTCGGTCGCCTGGCCGAGCTCGGGGCGATCAGGGGCCCATCGCGGAATGCTCTGACACTTCGCTGACCCAAGAGACACAGGCGGGGGCGCAGGCACCCGGTCGGACACCTCATCGATAATGCGCGCGGAGCCGCTCGTTTCCAGACTTGGGGCGCCAATCAAGAATCTCGCTGGCGGGGGCATTGGCGCAAATCCTTTCCAACCTGGCGACCGGCGCGACGACGTTGCGCGCGCGGGCCCCGCGCGCGCGGCCAGGCCGGGCAATCTCGCAGAAGGTCGGGACAACATAGCCGACGCGCCTTGCCAGGGCGGCGCTGCCTACAGCGGGCTCGCTGCCGAAGAGAAGGGCGCGAAAGTCGTCTGCATCGGCGAAGTTGGAATCGCCGGCCAAGAACGAGAGGCGCAGATCCTCTCTAGGAATCGCCCGAGCGGCTCGGAACAGGCGGTCGCACTTAGCATCCCGAGAACGTCCGGAGCCGCTCTCGCCGCGAAGCCGACCGTGGCGGCGCCGCCCGTGATCGACGCGCAATACATCTGGCTCGCCCCCCTAACCAACTCATCGCAAACAAGCGCAGCGAAGCCGCGCGGCCGCCGCTAGCAGAGTTAGAGCACAAGGGGCCGACATGCACGCGGGAGAGGGAGTTGAGCTCGACAGAACTTGAGTCGCCTTCAGATGCGCGGGCTTCCTGGCACAGCACAGCGCCATACATGCCGAGAAGCCGCTATCTCTGAGCGCTTCTCGTTGCTTTGCCTCGCGCGCGAGCCAGGCGCGCCGCCGAACAACTTGGCCGAGGAGGCTTCGCCGCGCATGCGATCGTCAAAGCCGGGTTGGCGAGGGCCGTCTCCCAGGTGGCGCCGAGAGCGAGCCGGACATGGGCGGCGCCAGATATCTGCTGAGGAAGCTCCTACTCAGCCACAGCTGCGCCTGGGTGCGGTCCGCGAGGCCGTGCGCGAACCTGTCAGTCACGTGCATGTGCCTGGAGCTCCAGATGTCGACGTCAATGTCGCACGAGCACCCATTGGCGCTGAGGCTGACTGTCTCCTTCAGAATGGCCCACTCGCGCGGGTCACCGTTGCCCACTCGGTAGAGAGCCCCCTGCAACGGGTTGGTGCACAAGCTTAACGGAGGCCGCATTCCACAACTGGTTCGCCTTCATCTCCGCCAGGGTGATGTCCTGCGCGATGCCGAGAGCGCAGGCTCCGCGCCGAGCTGGCAAGAGGCTGGTCCTTGCCCAAGCGCAGAACATGAGGCTCTGCTGCGAAGGCCGATCCACTTCAAGCTGATGCCCTTGAAATGCCCCCATCAGGCGTCGGCCTGGCCCTTGTTGTCGACGTCGACTGCGTAGGAAAAGCTTGCAACTCTGGAACTTAGCCGTATCCTTCGTCACCAGCTCAGCTAGCACATTTGCCTCGGGAGTCGAGTCGTGCGCCACGAACTGTGGTTGCATGAACTTGCGCGGGAAACCCCGGACCCAAAGCCGAAAAAGGATTACTGTCCTCGTAAGGTACCGAAGCAGCACGCTGCCGCCTCCCGTGAGGCCCTGCAGGAGGAGCCGATGTCCCCCAGGATGCCGTGGAAGCGGTCGGTGGTGGGTCGCGCGGTCACCTGCTCCTGAGGCTTGACGAAAACACTTCCCTGATCTGGAGGTACACCAGCACCTAGAGCGACGGGCTTCGCGCTGAGGTCTGCGAAAGTATGTTGGTGGCATCCTGAAAAAAGGAATCATCTTGGACACGTTAGCGGTCATCGTGGCCTCGCTGGCCCTGACCTTCTCGCCGAATTGCTGGCAGTCGTCGATGCTGTGGCCCAAGGCGCTGAAAGGAGCCCTGATCTGATTCTGATCGCTTTCCTCGACTGAAGAATCCATCGTGTGGACAGTGACGCAACAAAATCATGTGGATGGCTAGGCGAAGGACTCGCGACGCAGGCGCCCCCGCGGAGAAACTCCAGTCGGACGCTCGAGCCGCACCCTCGGCAACGTCCAAGTTCGAAGCGCCAGGGACGCACGTCTCGACCTTGAGCAAAAATGGCAGCGGAATGGTGACGATGATGGTGATTGTGATGATGATGGCGATGATGTCATGATGGTAGCATGATGGTGAGTGAGCGAATGCTGAATGAATGTGAATGAAGGAGTGATTGAGTCAACAAGAAAAATGATGGTGATCAGGATGTTGACGGCCTATGGTCATGATGGGATGGTCATAGTGCTGTTGATGACGACGACGACGACGACGACGACGACGACGATGATGATGATGATGATGATGATGATGATGATGATGATGATGATGATGATGATGATGATGATGATGATGATGGTGCGCGATGGTGGTGATGATGACGATGATGATGATGATGATGATGATGGCCGATGGTCATCAGGACGATCGCGATGAGTGTGAGGGAAGCAGGAGGATGAGAGGGGGCGGGTTCCTGCGCCCAGTGACAAGAGACAACAAACGTCCAACTTGGGATTTGGAGGAAAACAACACACGAGAAGAACCGGACGCCGCCACACAGGTCCTCCTGGTGGGGGCCCAGCGACCCCAGCACAGGGGAAACGGGAGCTGAGGGAAACGGGGGCGTTCCCCCACTGGCCATCGTTCGGACGTCCATTCCCTGTGTTTTTTCGGTTTCGTGCGTGGTTGTTTTGCCAAATGATCAAGGATGATCCTCGATGGTCCTCGCCGAAGGAAAAATGCACTTCGAGTACGAGAAATAATAAAAAACAAACAGTATAAAAACAGTAAATAAAAAAAAAATGATAAAAAAAAAAAAATAAAAAAACAGAAAGAACAAAATAAAAAAAGTATAAAATAAGAGAAATAAATAGTGCCCAGAAATCAAAAAATACAAAAAAAAAAAGAAAAAAACAAAATAAATAAAAAAAAGTACACAAAAAAGAAAGTCCGAGAAAAAAACGAAAAAAAAACCGAAAAGATCGCAAAAAGATGCACAAATAAACCAAAAAAAAAAAAAAAATAAAAAAAAAGAGAGAAGAAAAGACGAAGCCCATCCCCACAGGGGGGGCGAGATCTTCCTCGTGAACCGCTTTCTGACGGCCCCGGGGCCCGTGAAGGCCCCAAGAAGCCAAACGCGGCGAAGAAAACCTCAGGACCCGTTTCCCCCAGGAACCCTTTTCCACCACGGCGAGCATCCCTGGAGCCCTGCACAACATGGGCAGGAAATGTCATTAGTCATTGCACTTTTTCCGTGCCCATGTCGATCGTCCCGATAAGAAGCCTTCCCCCCTCCCCCCTTCAGGGGAAACCAAAAGATTCCGATACCGCTACTTTCCGGACCTCTCCTTGGGTGCGCTCTGACCAGACTGTCGAGGCGAATCCAGCGGCGGCGACGAGGGCCCCGCAGGAGGCCCCAACAGGAGAAAACGGCCGAAGGTTAGCGGTATGTGTACCTCTTCCTGCTCTGACCCTCTGACCCTCCTCCTCTTTTTTCTCTACCTCCTCCTTTTTCTCTTCCTCCTCCTCCTCCTCCTCCTCCCTCCTCCTCTTTTTTCCTCCTCTTTTGGCGCCATCCTTTTTCCCGCCCCCTCCACCTCCTCCTGCCGCCTCTCTCCTCCTCCTCCCGACTCCCCCTCCTCCTCCTCCT